TTTTTTTTTTTTTTTTAGATTTGGTTTTTTTGATTCTCATTTGTGAAGCAAGAATTTGTCATTTACGTCTTCTTTGTTGTTATTCAGCAACGTGCAGATAACGCACAACTGATTTACCAAAGAGGTTTACTGCCAAGTATTACTTCTTTATGCATGCGAGCTTTGTTTGCGCGATTGGCAAGACTAGTATCAGCAGTTGAGTTGCCTCCATTCACCATCTCAGCAGCCGCATGTTCGGCAGAAATTCCTCCTGAAGTGGGAAATAAAGTGGTGCAGAGGGTTACGTTAAACACCTTAAAGTTGAAGCTGGTTGAATGACCAGTTTTAAGAAAAAAAAAATGAACCAAAAATTATTTGCTCTATTTTTAATGGTTGGCTACTATCTGTTGAATGCTTTGTTCTGTTTCTGTAGTTATCATAACTATTGCATACCTTTCGATAGTTGTCCAATGCGACGTGGCGTTGAACGCTTCCATCCTTCCGGTACAGAATCCTCTGCAATAAACGTGGGAAGATCTTTAACGAGAAAAATTTTGGCCAAATTAATCTAAATGTTCAAAGAGAAAACAGTACTTTTGGGCTTTAGACTGAGAGGTTATTCCTTTAATGGATGGGATTTCACGTAAACGGGTTAGATACTGATGGTTTTGGTGGAATGTTATATATTAAGATTTTAACGGATAGTCGGTCAAGAAATAGAAGAAGAAAACTTGGTTACAGAAATATTATTCTGTTTCAGTCAACTGACTGTTCAGATATTCCTTACTGTAAATATTGATTTTTTGAAACTGTTCAGATGCTTTAGTTCTATCATCCTAAAATTTCAAATACTCTCGCATCTGGTTATCGGTTGCTTCCAAACGCAGCAAATACAGTCCCGTTTATGTCATTTGAAGAGCTGTTTGGATGACGCTGAATTTTTTCACTCAGAGTTGAACATTGACTGATTTGGATAATCTTAGATTTGTTGTTTCGGAGCGGTCGTTGACTAGTTGCTTTGAAAGTTTCGTTTTAAACGACAGCTCTAAGAAGTTTTTGTCTTATATAAATTAACTGATGTGATTCTTATGATTTTCAAACAAAGAAAATGCCTTTTAAGAAAAATCTATCAGTGTGTTTAGGTTTGACTCTTAGTTTTAAGTTTCTTTAAAATATATTTTCTTTTAACTACTGGTATCTGTTCTAAGCCAAATCGGAAAGTGACTTGGTGGATGTAGATCAGTTTTTCTTTTTTTTTCTCGAAGTGTCACTATTGTAATTTTAAATTATTATATTTCAAGTAAATTTTAGAAAAAACGTGCTTTTTTTCCAAAACAATTTTTTTGCATCGTCAAAATAAATTTTATAAAAGTTATTCTTTCGTTAAATTCATGAACTAGTTCATCTTATAATCACAGGGCAATTGGTTCTCTATTGTTGGCATCTTTTCTACGTTACAATTTCTTTAGCTAAATATTCTGTGAAAGATGTCAGGAGCGAGAAGATAGGTCAGTCGTGCTTTCTTTCTTTTATTTCGTTTCCAGCGACGAATTGAGTAACGTTAAATTTTTTTAGTGTATTGAAACTATTGGTTTCTGATTAGCGTTACTTAAAAAAAAAAGAAACATTTTTTTTTCTTTTTCTTAAGTGTTTTTTTGAGACTAAAAAAAAGAAGAGTGGAAAAATTGAGCAAATTTTTTTTTTTTTTGAAGTAATAAAATCAGAATGAAAATGTAAACTGTTTATGCTCACTCAATTTTTTATACACTATTAAATGTGAAAGCGAATATAGACGGG